TAAGATTTTTATACTTGTGTATAAGAATAGAATCTTTACAAGTTGTAGATATAGTATAGGATTAGTAAAAAAGTTAAAATTTTGTTAATTAGAGAATTATAATAGAAACACTATAGCAGAAGAGTTATTATTTTCTCTTAGTTAATGCTATTATTAATATTATAAAATTTAGTGAGATCTATATTTGTTATAATTCTATTTATATAATTAGTTAGTAGATTGGTTATAATATTACATAGTTAAAAAAGAATTTGAATATATTCAAAGACTAATTTAAGAAGATTAAGGTTAACTGAGTTATAGGTTTTGCTCATGTCTTGAGACAGAAGCTATAGCTCTTTTTTGTTATAATAGGAGTTTTCAATAATATTATTAAGAATATGTATTAGAATATTTGTGCTATTTCCTAACAGAGCTATATAATTATATGGATTAAAAATTTTGTAAGAAGTAAAGGTTAGACTAAGTCAAGTAGTTAAGATTTTTGCATAAAGTTTTTTTTTTTTTATTAAGATAGCTTACTATACTAAGTGAATTTTATTAGTTAATATATGAAATTATTTATTGATAATCTCCTATATTTTGTAATTACATAAAGAGTATACAATCTGCTACATATACAACTTTAGTCATTATCTAATTTAAGTAGCCTACTATACAGATAGATTACCTGCTTAGTTCTATACAAGCTGCTATATCTGTAACCCACTTGTGAGTTACTTTTTTAAACACTTTATTCAACTAATTTATACTAGAATTAACTAACCTTACTATAATATCTAACTGCTTAAGCTAGCTAGCTTGTTACAGATCTATTTACCCAACTCAGCTTTGGTCTTCTTGAGATACATATTGCTTAACATATTGTAGTACACAAAGCTCTAGTTAACCTCATAAGCAAACCTACTAGAGGAGCTATGCCTATTTTACAGATTTACCTAGTTTAGATTTTTGTAGATGTTTATATAACTCTTGTTCCCACTGTAGCTCTCTACTAATATTGTTTACTGATCTCTTTGAATATTTTATGAAGTAAATCCTCTCAAATTTAGTTAGCTACTAAGCCAGGTTGATATTGCTGATTCTTCCTGTAGAATGGACTTACTTGCATCTAACTTAGTCTATATCTTTTGAGCAATAGTTTTTATTCAAATTAAGTATTAGCTAGTATAACTATTAAAAGCTGTACTATTTTACCAACTTGAGATTTCTACTATTAAGATTTTATAATTATAGATCCTATCAAGATTTATTTATACAACATTATATCACACTTCTAATATCTGAATAATATTAGTGCAATAAAATTTATAGAGTTACAATTTCAGAATGAACAAAGTTTACTGTAAGTTAGATACAAAGATCTGAGTAATTATTCAAATTTGTCAATAGTGGAATTTGAATACCAGACCTCTTGTATAGTAGTCTAGCAACCTAACTACTATACTAAGATCACTAGACTTTTGTATAAAGTTTTTTAATATGTTTAATAGACTAATTAGATATATATTATTAAGATTACTATCAAAAATAGGTTTTTTTAGAATAAAAAAAATATAGCTATCTTTCTATTATTTAAAGATTATTTGTGTTATTAGATAGCAGTTAAATAGTGCTATAATAGCTTAAATTGTATTTAGATTAGAGTACCTAATTATTTCATAACTAATTTCAGAGAATCCATAAGCCTAGTTATTAAACAAATTATTTAAAAATTTTGTAACTTCTTTAGTAGTGATTTCTGATAATATAAAGTAATATTATTCAGATTAAATATCTAAAGAGAAGTTGTATTCTTTATTCAAGTTAGAGTTAAAAATTGTTTAGTCAAGATTTTAATAAGCAATCTATTTATAAAACTGTTGTTAGATAGCTAATTTAATTGTAGAGAATTCAGTTATGATTTTATTCTGTGTATTAATTTATTAAAGTGTATAAATATACTATACTTGTCTAAGATACTATTGATTATTTTAGTAGATTTAGTTTGAAAAAAATTATATTTTTTGTTTGTAGTTTAGTTAATGTATTCTCTTATTTAGTGAGTATTTTCTAAGTTTTGGATACTGTAAAAAGAAAGAAATTAGGATATAGAATGTTATAGTTGTTTAGATATTTTTTAGTCTTTCTAATTGCTTTTTCTAGAATTTTAAAATCAATATACAGCTTAGTTACTTTAAGAAAAAAAGTATAGTAGAAGTTTTTTGTTATAAATTTTTTGCTAAAAATCTTAAAAGGAGCTACTTAAATAATACAAGTTTGGATTTTATACTAAGTAGTTTCTAAAGATTTTGTTGTTTATATTAAGAGTAAATTATTGATAGTAAGTAGGTTAGAATTTGTTTAATTAGCAAATTCTTGTTATAGTTCTGTAGTTATTTCTTTATAGTTAAAAATTCTTTATTAAGTATTAGTTTTGTTTCTAATTTTTCTAGAATAAGCAAAAGAAAAAACTATTTTAGACTAAAATTTTGTGATCACTATTAGTTATAGTCAGAGAATCTTCATAAAAAAAATTTTGTTAAGAATTATATATACTTAGATATAGTCAATTTTACTACAATATCTGCTATTTTGCTAGATATTTTGTTAATTAGCTATATAGTTAGCTAGATTATATATATTAATACTATTTAAATAAGATAGTAAGTATTTTTTGGAAGAAGTACAAGATATATAATTAGTGGATATATTAAAGTCTCTCAGAACAACAAGAAATATTTAAGTTAAAAGCTTGCTGAATTCATTGTATAGTATTTTTTTAAGCTAAGTCTCTATAAGATTTGTTCAAAGTTGACAAATAAACTAAAATAATTCTAAATTTGAAGTTATGTTTAAAAAGAAAATGATAGCAACAGCTTCTTCATAATATATTAGTATATTATAAATATATAGTTTGAGATTGTTATTGATAATAAGTGCAGTTCTTTTAGCTGAGTTTTCAAGACTTGCTTAGAAATAGAAAAAATTTTAGTATTTAAAAATTTTTGTAATCATGAGGTATTTGGTTTAGTTTTAGTAATACTAGCAATATTAAAGTTTTTTTTATATAGTATTCTTCTTAGAGTTGTCTTTTAGTCAGAATATTGAAGCTTTGCACATTATGAGTTACTATATTAAGGTTAAAGTTAGAATTAGTAGTTAGATGAGTTTGTAATTTTAGTAGTAGTTGTAGTATGTTAGGAGTTAGTATGACTATATAAACAAGTAGTATTAAATAAGTATATATTATTAGAAGTATATATATGTGCTTTACCAAGTTTGAGGTGAAAGAGAATATTGTTTTATAGTTAAACTTGTGAGATTTTAGATAATTAAGAAAGAATTTAATAGTTTGATTATTGTTTAAAAGAGGAAGAGAATTAATATATACTATATAATTTTTATAATATATTATAAGTTTTATATAGATATTTTAATAATATTTAAACTTAGAATGTTGATAAGTTTTTTTATTTAATTTAGCAAAAACAAATTTGTTTTTTGCTAAATCTGAGTTTGACTAAGTTTAAAGAACTTGAAATTTGTGAAAATAAGTCAACAATAATAGAAGTATACTGTAATTGTAAAAGCAAGTGCAAAAATAATAACTGTAATTGTTATCTATATAAATAATATAAAATAAAAAAATATAATTTTAATTTTAATTAATAACTAAATACGATAGTTTTTAAAATTCTGTTTCTACTCATGTTAATTTAAGATTTCAAATCAAATTAAATGAATTTAGAATCTACAAAATTCCAAATCTACTTACAACAGATACACAACCTTTTTAAATCAATCTTTAGTTTTAAATTCTCTCTAAAATTTATACTATAAAACTAATAAAAAATTAAAAATCTATAAATTACAAAAATTTACTACTTACTTCTAATCCTTAAATAAATAAAATACTCAAAATAAAATTTTACTTATAATATTTACTTTCTACATTTAAATAAAAAGTTTATAGAATATATAATTTAAACTTCTAGACAAAAAGATCCTATTTTAACTTGACACTAAACTTGGTGGCGAAGCTGCCTACAAGTGCTACACTAGTTGTAAATAATAAAAAAGTCTAATCAGCTAAATTAAAATTTTGAATTATTTTTAGTAGTAAACTGCTTAACTCAGTTGAGATCCTCGATGATAATTAATATTTAAATTTTTTTGCATTCAAAAAAATGTTGCATGTCACAGTGATTAGAGAAGTCAATTATTTATTTTAGCACAATTAGTTAAAATAAGGAAACATTGAATTCATTACTAGCTTTAATGCTTATAATAAAATCATTAAATTATAAAGTACTTTGCTTACTTTTTGGATTTCATTCAAATCTTGTTTGAATTCAAAATTTTATTGGGAATTTTATTGAAACAGAAAAATTACAAATTTTATCATAATGATTCGGATTTATGAATATAAATGTTTTTTTTTTTGAAGACTAGATAATATTATATTTATTTATGTACATACGTAACAAAACGAAAAATTTAAGTTCACATAATCCAACCTATAATAAATTAGTTTATATTTTTGTACTCGCTGCATTATTATGATAAAATGAAAATATATAAAAAACATATTTAAAATCACTCCGTATATCTTGTAAACTTTTATTTGACTAGCTAATAAAAGTCAATTGCCTATAGTATTTATTAAATGCTTCATAATGTATTAATATGATGCTAGATAAGTTCTTGTTTGTATATTACTTGTACTATTTGTTAGCCACTATATTTGCTTTTATTCCTGGTTTCTAGCATGACTACGTCACGCAGCTATCCTATAGAGCAATAGAATGGAAAAGGTATTTATAATTTGCAATTTTAAGATGTATATAAAAATACATATTATTCATAGAAATAGAGTTTTATTATATATGTTATAGAATATTAATACAATAATATATTTAGAATTTTCATATAGATAACAATATAAAAAAGTATCTGTGATATTAGACCCAAGAGAAATATTAAATAATAAGTCTGCTATCAACAAACCCTAATACATGTCAAGAATTTGTTAACAGTTTCATAGCAACTTTAGAAAGAATCTTGGAGAGATCACCAGCTCCTTCTATGAGTCGTCTCTTTGCCAATTCTGGCTTCCTTAATATAAAATATGCACCAGAAGATATTAGATTATATGCTGTGCCAACAACTGGCACAAAATCCATGACTTTTTTCACTTTTGACTCAAAGTATTCTTTAGGCCCAGCAATTTCTAGTTTTACACAATTGTATCTTAGATGCATTAAACAACTTATTAAATGTTTTCGACTTTCTATCCTTATTTTTTTCTGTGCTTCAGCATCAAAACGATCATCAAAGGGAAAATCGACTGCAATGATAGGATGATTTCCAAAATAGTCTCGTATTGTTTTTACATTATCACTAGCCCATTTCGGAGTGCAATCAGTCATAATTATAACAAAATTATTCTCTCCTTCTTTGAATATATTTTTAAATTTCTTAAATGCTTTTTGGTCTTCTTTGGTGAACCTGCTCTTCTTTTTAACATAGCATATATAATTGAGTGGCGATTTTGTTTTTGAGAAAAAATATCTAATCTTTTTGATAGCTTGTTTATGTGATATTGTTCCTTTAGAAGTTTCACATAATCCAATAGTATCATATATTTCAAATGCATCATTTTTACTATACTTTACTTCAGAAGTTTCTCCAACCGCATTATCGCTGATTGGGAATATATTTTTAGAACATTCAAAACAGAGATCCTCTTGAATTAGCATATTAGCGAGAGTAGATTTTCCTTCTCCTGTGCGCCCGAAAAAAACTATAGATTCCGGTACATCCATAATAATAATTTGTTGACCTTTACAAATAAAAGTTAAAATATTTGTGTCGGCAATTATTCACGGTTTGGTCGATCAAACCTTTATAATACAATGACCCCTTGCATTGACAATAGTCATGCAAGGGTATTATCGCGAGGATGATTCGTGACCTATCTAGTGATGTGCTATTTATATGATACCTAAATTTTTTTCGCGTACAATACTTCGGCTGAACCTTGCTCGTGTTTTATGTTCATTTATAGTCTATTCCGGAAATTTTCGTAATTAGTTATTACGGGATAATTCGTGTTAATAAAAATTAATTGACTTGATTGGTTATCGCTTCCCGGTATTGGCCTATATAAAATGATCGGCAAAAAATCTCGCATACTGCAGCGGCACATCATTAGACCTATCCCTGAACAATCAGGCTTAGGTACATGGCAGGGACCCGTAAAAATTTCAAAAGGATTAGAAAACAATAAATCGCAATTTTTAGTAAATCTTGCTCTAAAAAACAATTTTACGACTTTTTCATGCATAGTAGGTTACATAATAAATTGGATTGGCTAGCTATTTTAGTACACTAATCAAATTCGAATAAGTTTGTGTAACTTATTAATCTACCGAAAATTTATATGCGAGACAAATTTTGATCATATTATCAATTTTAAAGGATGAATTTTTTAAATACATTGTTCTTTTATTTTTTTATTTGTAATATGCATAGAACTATTTATGTGAGTTGTAATAGTTGACTTTATATCATAATTAATAGATTTATCACAAAATCAGCACATCAAAAATCCATGATCCTCAAAAAAATGTTCTGAAAATTCATTTGTACAACCTGTTGCAGTAATTTGACGTGACATTTAAAACAAGCTATTATGTTTAATAAAAAGCAAATTAAGTTATATAGTACTTATACTATAAGATACCAAAAGTCAAATATAATATCTTACTTTTT